GAATTCTGGGAGTTGCAGCCACATATCTTAAAGTTGCTAAGGTTGAGAAACACTGCTGTGGGCAATTAGCATGGACAGTCCCAAAGGGAAGGGCCCTTGGTTATCCCAGCCGTAACCTTTTTAAGCACATAACAGTCGCAGAAGAGAGATGGAAAGTAGGATGGATGGGGGTGATGTATCCAACAAATCACCACCAAGAGGGAAGAAGAGTTCTGCATTCTTCCCTGACCCGGCATCCATCTGATAAGTTGGATTATGCCACTGTAGATGACACGGACGATATCCTAATGCATCTCATGCGGCATCTGGCTGAAAGGCAGCTCAAACAGCTATCTCTTGCTTGAGACAATGAAGTTCTCAAGTGTGGTGGAACATGCTCCTAGGATGGAATCCAGAGCTGCTGTCCAAATTGTGTATTCAAAGCACTTGGAGGCATGAACTCAACCGCCATAGCCCCATTTTGGATCTTGGGCTCTTTTAGCCTTCAATGTGTATGCTTCACTTGTGCATCAATCAGTCCCAAATCATAACATATGGAACTGTATGCCCGGGCTGGTCATCTAAAACCTTTCCGGGAGCTCTCTGGAGTTTGATGTATAAAATACCAACTAGAGCCATAGTGACCACAAGAGAAAGCCGGTCAGTTCATTAATAAGAGCTGGGGATGAGGAGGGGCTCAATAGGGTCTGGAATTGAAAGGGCACAAAACACAATACAGAATCAGGGAGCAGCACCTGTGATTCTAGAGAAGTTAATTTTCTTCCCATCATCTTGTCTTCCTTCTTTGCCACTGGGGCTTTTTGTTTTTCTTTCTCCTTCGACTTTTCCAGCTTTTCGAGTTCTTCCACATAAGCATCGTAGATTTTCCACTAAAAGAGACAAAGAGCAAGTCTTAGTTGTAGCCTCACAGAATCAAAGCTGGAAGATGCTCTTCTTGGTCCATCTACTCCAGTGTTTTTCATACTTAAGATGTGTGGACATTAACTCCCAGAATTCCCCAGCCAGCATCTGGGAGTTGATGTCCACTGATCTAGTCCCTATCCAACCTTATTTTGCAAACCTCCAAGAAAAGATCCAAGAGAGCATGGAAAATAGGATTCAACAAAAAATAGGAAAAGTGCCAATTACTGTTGTCCAAGTACAAGTAGTCCTCAAATTATGAGCACAATTGGGACTTGAACTTTTGTTGCTAAGCGATGCGGTTGTTAAGTGAGTCATGTCTGATTTTATGATTTTTTTTGCCACAGTCTTTAAGTAAATCATGTGATCGTTAAGCAAATCCAGCTTCCCCCATTGACTTTGCTTGTCAGAAGCCCCCTGAGAAGGTCACAAATGGCAATCACGTGACCCTGGGATGCTGCAACCATCGTAAATACATGCCGGTTGCCAAACACCTGAATTTTGATCACATGATCGTGGCGACGCTGTAATGGTCATAAGTGTGAGGACAGGTAGTAAGTCACTTTTTTCAGTGCCGTCGTAACTTCGGACAGTTGTTAAATGAATGGTCATAAGTCGAGGACTACCTACTGTATATACCTTGAGTGTAAAGGTTTGCAAAATGTGAGTCCAAGCAGGAATCAAGCTGGAATGGGATGAAGGATACGGAGAAGACCAGTTTGAGGTACCCACGCAAGACAGAGCTGGAGCAAACAAGTAAGTGGGGTTGGGGAAAGGGGGGAAAGAAAAGGCAAAGGTAAAGGTAAAAAGGCAGGATCTGCGGCAAGGCTTGAGATCCTGGACTGCTGCATAAGAAAATTCCTGAAGGGCGTAAAACTAAGGACAGTAAGGAAGAACTACGATCCTGCCAAAAAAAAAAAAAGGAAACAATAATATTTAAACATAATTTCATACCCAGGGGTGTTACAAACACTGTTTTTCCTAGCATCTCAAAGCTCAGGAACATTCAGACAAACTTAACAGATTTCTAAGTCATGTAAGCTGTGACTTCCCCACAAACAGCCTAGAAGAGATTGTCCTGTTACTTGGAATAAATGCTTTGTTATTCATTTGTTTCTTCATGCTGATTACAAATGCAAGAAAACTGGAATCAAAAAAGATGCAACCCTCTCGCTTGCCACACAAAATTGCATTTTCCCTTTAGTATGACTGCACATCAATACATAAATCAGCAGAAATAGAAACAACTGTCAAAGAGACTGCAAAGGAAAATAGATCAACTCCTAGGCTACCACAAAAATCATAACTGGCTGAAAACCAACCAGGACTGGATTTAGACAGGGGGAGGCCTTAGTTTATGGGAAGCTGTAGAGACTCTATCTGGCAAGTGTTAACTGAGAATAAGGCAGATGCCAAATGCCAAGCACGGGATGGCTGTGCATCATTAGAGTTACAGCCCAAGAGATAAGGAGGGTCCCAAGTTTGCAGCAGCTGGATTGTATGCATGGGTGCCCTGAGAGATCCACAATGAAGAAAAGGACAATTACCTGGTTGGCAGTGTCCGAGAAAGTTGCTCTGGGTGGGGGCTCCATCTGGCAAGCTCTGTCCTGAAAGAAAGGAGTTGGTCAAGAATTCCATCCCAGAATTCAAGCATTGCACCATTAACTCAGTTGGATCCCTGGCATGGCCACAACTTCTCTTCCTGGGGCTCAGAAGCCCTGCAGATGAAGAGAAGAGTTCTTGGAAACATGACAGCATCTAACCCTTTGTCAACATTCCTGGGCCTGCTAAAGATATTGTCTCTTGGATTTGGACTGATTTCCCTAACGATAGTAGGACTCGAGGGCATTGCATTTATGACCAATTTACTTGCAACAGCGAACACTGATCAGTAGCTTAGATCACTTTGGGTTCACTGCAGTTCCAAGGGAATGAAGAGCATGTTGACAGATCCTGGAAAGGAATGAATTCCTGCTTTTGACAGAGGTCAGTCTCTGCTTAATTGGTTTTATTGCTTCTGTAACCCAGAGCCATGAGTATTATACTACAGCTATTTGAAAAACATTTGAGATACTCTAGAGAGGTGGTTACTTTCCTAATTCAAAGTAAGCTAAATGTTTACTTTATCACCTATAGTCTCAGGAAGTCAATCCTCCAAACAGACAGAGAATGCAACCGAAGAGCTGGAATTTCTTTATTAATCTTTATTTATTTATTTATTTATCTATCTATCTATCTATCTATCTATCTATCTATCTATCTATCTATCTATCTA